TTTTTGGTGGGTGTTGTGGGTGTGTCATGTGTGTTTGTTTTTGGTGTGTGTTGTGGTGTGGGTGTGTCATGTGTGTTTTGTAGGTGTGTGATGTGTGTGTTGTTGATTTATTCTGCAGGCTGACCCTACTCTGATCAACGAGTTCAGGGCAGATGTCAGAGACGAGTGCCTCAAATTTGGAGACGTGAAGAAAGTTGTCCTGTATGACGTAAGTCCAATTTTTCCCTTTATGTCAGGCAGGGAATCTTGGTGGTTTGGCTGACCTGTGTGTGGGCACAGACGAGGTGCTAGTCTAGGACCTCTTTGTTCTCTACTTTTTCACAACTGTGGATATTCACAAGAAAATGGATATTCTTCAGAATAGGGTAACAAGTCTATCGACGCCACAGTATGGTTACAAATGTACTGAATGCAGTAACAAATCATCCATCCGCTCCTAAGTGTGGCTACAAACGTGTAGAACAGGGTACCAGGTGACAGATCCATCCATCCGCTCGTAAGTGTGGCTACAAACGTGTAGAACAGGGTACCAGCTGACAGATCCATCCATCCGCTCCTAAGTGTGGCTACAAACGTGTGGAATAGGGTAACAAATCATCCATCCACTCCAAAGTGTGGTTACAAACGCATAGGTGGGTGGTTGGAGGGCGCCACTGGCAGGTTCTTCTTCTCTATTTTCCCTCTGTTGTTTCTGTCTGTCTGTCTGACTTGTTCCCATGCTAGATGACAATTATTGTGTGGATGTGCTTCTCTCTACTCAAACAAATAAATGTGTACAAACTGGTAACAAATGCAGCCATCCACTCCAAAGTGTGGCTACAAATGTATGGAGCGGGGTAACAAATCCATCTATCCACTCCAAAGTGTGGCTACAAATGTATGGAGCGGGGTTACAAATCCATCTATCCACTCCAAAGTGTGGCTACAAATGTATGGAGCAGGGTAACAAAGTATTATACATATAATATAAATGCATATGTGTACAATTTTATACCAGAAAAACAGTCTCGCAGTGAGGTTGAAAATGTGTT